TTGGGGGGGGTAGAAGGGACACACGCACCGCACGGGATGGGACCGGCCCCGGGGGGGGGTCTGACCGGCTCCGTTCTCCCCCGCAGTCCTCCAAACCCATCATGGAGAAACGGCGCCGGGCGCGGATCAACGAGAGCCTGGGGCAGCTGAAGACCCTCATCCTGGACGCGCTGAAGAAGGATGTAAGTGGGGCTGGGGGGGCGGTGGAGGTTTGGGGGACACACACGGGGGACGACACCCCCCTCTTTGCATGGGGCAGCCCTGACAGTGCCCGTTCTCCCCCCCTTGCAGAGCTCCCGGCACTCCAAGCTGGAGAAGGCGGACATCCTGGAGATGACCGTCAAGCACCTGCGGAACCTGCAGCGGGCGCAGATGACGGGTAAGAAGAGTCCCCCCCACCCCCGGGGTTTGGGGACAGAGGGTTGGGGACAGGGGACGGAGATGAGGTTGGACAGGGCTTGGAGCAACCTGGTCTGGTGGGAGGTTGCCCCCCCCCACCATGGTGGGGGGCTTGGAGCTAGATGATCCTTAAGGTTCCTTCCAACCTGAACCACTTTAGGGTTGTATGACCAGGGTCCTCACCCTCTGTCCCCACCCCACCATGGTAGGGAGCTTGGAACTAGATGATCCTTAAGGTTCCTTCCAACCTGAACCACTTTAGGGTTGTATGACCAGGGTCCTCACCCTCTGTCCCCACCCCACCATGGTAGGGAGCTTGGAACTAGATGATCCTTAAGGTCCCTCCCAACCCAAACCGCTCTGGGGTTGTATGAACGGGGTCCTCACCCTCTGTCCCCACCCCCCTCATGGTAGGGAGCTTGGAGCTAGATGATCCTGAAGGTCCCTTCCAACCCAAACTGCTCTGGGGTTGTATGAACGGCGTCCTCACCTTCTGTCCATCCCCCCCCCATGGTAGGGAGCTTGGAACTAGGTGATCCTTAAGGTCCCTTCCAACCTGAACCACTCTGGGGTTGTATGACCGGGGTCCTCACCCTCTATCCCCCCCCTCCAGCCGCCCTCAGCGCCGACCCCACCGTCCTGGGCAAGTACCGGGCAGGATTCAACGAGTGCATGAACGAGGTGACGCGGTTCCTCTCCACCTGCGAAGGGGTCAACACCGACGTCCGTACCCGCCTCCTCAGCCACCTCTCGGCTTGCTTGGGCCAGATCGTGGCCATGAACTACCCACCACCACCTCCACCACCACCTCCACCATCCGGCCAGCCCGCACATCTGGCGCAACAACCTCTGCACGTCCAGCTGCCCCCCGCCGCCGCGGCCGTGCCCGTACCCTGCAAACTCAACCCCGCCGAAGCCCTGTCCCCCAAAGTCTACGGTGGTTTCCAGCTCGTCCCAGCCACCGACGGCCAGTTTGCTTTTCTCATCCCCAACCCGGCTTTTCCTCCCGGTTCCGGACCCGTTATTCCCCTCTACGCCAACGCCAACGTCCCGGTGTCCACCACCACCAGCAGTGGTGGCACCGGGAATGCCACCACCGCCACCCCATCGGCATCCCCGGTGCAGGGGTTGACATCATTTGGGGGCAGCATTGTTCCAGCCTCCCAGGCGGGAAGTCCCATCGCAGAGCGCAGTGAATCCGTGTGGAGGCCTTGGTGACTTGCCTAAAAATTATTCCTTTCCCCCCCTGCCCCAACACACACACCCTCACCCCAAAAAAAAACCCAGCCCTCTTCTGTTGGCTCCGTTGTATGGAGCCCTGTTCTGTTTGGGGGTGTTCTTTTTTGTTTTTTTTTTTTAAAGCAGATTTAAACAGAAAAGGAGAAAAGGACCTCGCTATGAACGCGCTATTTATTATTTTCAGAGGTTGGGAGCTCGACTTGTATTTTTACTCCTTTAAAAATGCCTTTATTTGAGATACCTTTTTTTAAGAAAAAACAAAAAATAAATGAGAAATAGTTTTGTAACAAATATTCAAAAAGTATAATGCCAAAGTTGTTTGTATCCTGTTTGTCTGTGTGTGTGTGCGTGCCTGTGTTGGAAGACTTCTGAAAAAAAAAAAAAGAAAAAAAATTGCAGGTGTTTAAATAAATAAACTCTTTGAAATAGATTTATTTTTTTTCCCCCCCTTCCTTTCATTTTGCTGGGTTGAGTGGGCAGGGACAAGCTCATCCTGGGTGTGCAGCCCCCTAAAAAAAAAAAAAGTGAACTTTATGGCCTTAAATAAGGCTGTTGGAAGGGATTCCTGTGGAAAAATAGTTGGGGGGGAAAAGGTGATGAGGTTGAGGGGAGGTTCTGGCAGGGTTAAATGTCTCCCGAGAGCTTTGCAAGTGTTGTGTTCAAAGCAGAAGAAAAAAATATTGTTAAAAAATGTGCTCCTGGAACCTGAGGAAATGTGTGTTACCTGCTCAGGGACCTGAAATAACGCTGCTCTGCCCTTAAATTTCATTTCTCACCACCTTGCCCTGGGGATTTTGTGTTGGGGGGGCGGGCGGGTGGTGCGCGCAAAAGTTACTATCTCGCCTACAAAAGAGGCAAGAGAGTCTGTCCCCATTGTGAGGAGGGTAATTAGAAGGTATAAAGGGTCTCATCGAGTATGCAGCGGGCTCTTTGGGAAGTTGGGAACCCTATTGAAACGCCTGGGAACTGGGAGCTGAGGGTTAATGTGTGTCTTTTTTTTCCTCGCCACTCTCATTGACAGGGCCAGATAGACTCTGATACTCAATGCTGTTGTAAATTCAATTGCCTGCCCTCACAATGCCTACCTCATAAAAGAGAATAACTTGGGGTTGTGGCTTTTTTTTTTGGCTTTTTTTTTCCTTTTTTTTTTCCTTTTTTTTTTTTTTTCCATTAAGCTACAGAAAGAGAGCAGAAGACTCAGAACATTGGCAGTGTTGTAGCGAGATCTTTTGTTTTTCCTTTTTTTTTTCTTTTTTTTTTTTTTTCCAGTAAGCAAGGGAACTGAGGAAAAGACAGTTTTGCCACCCATTCTGACTCACCCCCAGTACTTGAATCCTGGCCAAGTGGAAGCAATTGCAGCCTCACACACACACACACACACACAGAGAATTAACCACTTCCAATTGTCACCAATTAATAAGGCCGTGGTGTGGAGAAAGACCATTAAAGAGTGAATGCGAGGGTATGGAAGGGAAAGCTTTGTGTGCTTTGCTCCAAATTTATGAGGTGGGGCTCTCGTGTAATCTTGGAGAGCAAAGCCAACAGATGACATGCCTGCATGCCAAAGCCACGGCCAGAGGCAGGACCCAGCTTGGCTGGGCTTCCTCCAACCAACCTCCAACCTCCTCCAGCCCCATGGGATCCCCGTAGGCAAAGCCCATTCTCCTGCCCTCCTTCCTCCCCAAGACCTGGGGGGGGTTTTCCTGGCAATGGGGGAGAGACCGGCAGCGTTTCCCAGCTTGGAAACTGGCTTGATGTTTGCAGAACATCCCATTAATTCAATGGGCCTAGGGATTTATTATTTTTCCTTTTTTTTTTTTTTTTTGAATGGAAATGCGATTTCATCTTTCAAGGTCTAGTTCTGTCAGCGAGCAGGTTCTTGTGTATGTGTGTGTCTGGGGATGGGGGTGAATGCAGAAAGCAGATTATTTGCTTCTGAAGGCTTTTTTTACACCTTCCTGAGGTTTTGCCCAAGGTTAGATCCAGGAGCACAGGCTGCTCGGAGCCTGGTACTGATCCAGTCCAGCAATTCCTCTGCACCAGAGCGTGGGCAATCGATCAAGGGGCTAAAAGTCCTCTGGTGGCACCACCAGAACTAGGTATCCATCTGAATCAGGAGGTTCCCAGGAGGTTTTGTTATGCAATCACCGACATAAAATCATGTTACAGCAATTCTCCTCCATCCCCCACAGCCAGTCAGCTACCCCTCCTCTTCTGTCTGAAGAAGGCTTGGAAGAGCAGATGAAAGCCTGCCTGTCGCCTGCCTGTAACCGTATCCCCCCCCCGGGGGTAGGACCATGTCTCAGACTTGTCCCTCACTGCCCAGTCCCCTTCCAGACCTCCCCTTAGATTCGGCGAATTTCTTTTCTTGACGAGGCACCCAGGCTGAGAGCAAGCCTGCCAACCAAGCTCTATGCTGCTGAGTTCAGGCAGAGAGAAAAAAAAAATAAAAATAAAAAAAAATAAAAAAAAAAACCACCGAGCCTGCCAAGCTCTACGCTGCTGAGTTCAGGCAGAGAAAAAAAAAAAAAAAAAATTTTAAAAAATAAAAAACCACCAAAAATCCAACCCACCACTTTTTTTTGACTGAGTGGGTTTTGAATGATGGCAGCAGTGCAAACACGACACACGCCGCGGCGCTCCTCCGGGACGCTCATCTCCCAGCGCGAGGGAAGCAGTCACTCATCACTCTGCCTCTGCAGAGAGACCCTCGGGTGGAAGCACGGATGCCACCCTCATTTCAGCCTCCCTCTAAACACAGCAGAGCCCTAGCACCCCACTTTTACATCCCCACACAGCCACCTATTGTCTTTTTGGCCTCAGGCAAGTCATAGACTTCTCCGTGCCAAGGTCTGGGGGTCCAGAAGCTGGGCATGAGGCCCATGGCACCAACAAACTTGCATGCCAGAAGCTCGAAATCCTTCTGTAGCAAGGCTGGGTTTGATGATCTTAAAGGTCTTTTCCATCCTAAACAATTCTATGATTCTAAGGGATGTTGCTGCCCTTACCTCCAGACCCTTTTGAGGACATACAACTCAGGTTCCACCTGGCTCTGCCAGGCTATTCCTCTACAACCACTCTCCTCCAAGGCTTTTTGTAGGGCTGCTTTTCCAGATGGTGCTAAATTTGCTCTTATCCCTTTAAAGGTGCAGTAAAAGAGCAACGTGTGCCGCTGCCGGGAGGTAAAAGTCCAAAGGGATGGACGCAGCGCCCAAGCGATAATGGTTGGGCTGAGCGCAGGCAGCCACAAGCCCATGGGGGTAATGGGCACCAGCTGGGTGTGGTGGAGGAAGGTGAGGTGGAGGAAGGCAGGGGTGAAACCCAGCTGGCCCGTGATGCCTCCTTCAGCTGAACTTAACTACAAGAGCTCTGTCCTGTTCTGAAGGAAAGGACACGGGGAGAGCTGGTAACTGGCCACCTCCAGAAGGCTAACCAGAGCAGGGAATTTACTTCCAGCCCCAAAACTCAGTGAAATACTTAGTGATAATTCAGTCACCCCAACAGACACCCCCTAAGAAGTACTGTTTGGTGCAAGGAAAGAGTCTCCCACAAAGCCCCGGACTAGAAGCAAAGCCCATTTCAGCTTCTGGACTGGCCCAGTTGACCAGGCAAAGGACCACCTGGGAGCAGCACCCGAGGCTGCAGGCTTTTCCCCTTCCCATCTCCCTGCTGCCTTTGCCACCTTCTGCTTAGGGGTTTCACAGAGGGGAAGTTTTCAGGGGTTATCCTCCTGCCTGCACCCTGCTCCCTGCCTCAGGCAGCTCTTTCCTTGCCCTCCATCTCCTCCAACATCAGCAACATCTTCTCTGCTCCTCCTCAACCGGTCCCCTTCTCTTCCCTGATGCAGCCCACAGGAGAGAACCAGGGGGGAAACCAAGGCCTGGGGGGTGCAGGAGCTGCCCACTCCCTCCCTTCCCGTGGGGTCTTACCCCCCCGTGATGTCCCCAACCCCCTCAACCCGAGGTGGCCAAGGTGGGCAGGCTGGCACCACCACCTCATCCTCTGGGGTCGTGCATCCCAGAGAGCGGCCGGGGAGAGGGAGGGAGCGGTTCCTCCGGCTCAATGGATGCAGCCAGATTTACTCAGGCTGTTAAGTTGATTAATTGAAATGAAGTTCCTCCAGAGAATCGGCGTGTTCTTTGAGGTCAGGGTCACAACACTGAGACGCTTAATCAGATCTTTCCATTTAGCCCCTCTTAGGCAGGCTGGAATGCAGGCTCTTTCAAAGCAAGGCGGTTGGCGCCAAATTTCTGCTCTGCTATCTTGCCTCTTCCATTACATTTAACCAGCACATCCATCATTATGAAATAAAACCCAACGCCACAAATCCAGCTTCAGGTAATCTTTTCCGCAACCGAAGCCGGTAGGAAAAACCAAAGGAAAAAAAAAAAAAAACAACAACAACCCAAAAACGAACCACGCAACTCCCTCCACGCTCGATATTGCTGTTGTTTTTAAAAAGCGAGGCAGAACGGTGTGGAAAGGGTAACTGTCACTCTGAGCCTGTCCTTTCGGAGGCAGGGGGCAGATGTTTCTCTGCGGATAACAAATTCCTTTATCTGCCTGAAGCATTTCTCTGGGGAAGGTGGGGGAGGTTATTATAAGGTTGCCCCGAACTATTGTCACAGAAAGGGCTTTTTCATTGCCATTCAAGAGCCCATCATATTACCCAGAGATAAATCACCCCTGTGTGGCTGTGGAACAGCTCTTACGCAACGGATCTGGATCCCAGGAGCACTGAAAAGCACTGAAAGCTTCTCCATTGTATAACTGATGGGCCACAAGTTACGTATCCAATTAGCACCCACACTTCTGGGGACCTCTTCCCATTCCTACTTCAGTCCCTGTCAGCAGAAGGACGTTCCTTACATCTGAATGCATTGATTGAAATTAAAGTAATCGCTCCTATTTCTTTATCAGATGGTGTGGGGCCAGTATCTCCATCGTGCTGTAGGGCAAGATGTCTATAATTTCAGAGGCAGGATGAGAAGTGCAGTGTATGTGCACAGCATCTTCAGGCAGCGCTGCAAAAGCAATCAAAGCCTCCCCCCAAGATCTTGGGGTGGGGGGCTCTCCCGAAAACCTTCCAACCTTTTCCCTTCCACTACTCCAAAGTCCAAGACAACAGCCACAAAATGTCTATGTCACAGACACTGATGCAATGTGGATCTGCATCCCTCACAACCAGGCTCTGCAAAAGCTGGCAGGGCTTTAAGGAGGTCTGATCTTCAAGAACTGCTGAGATTTGCTCTTTAAAAATCAACCTCTTTAAGGCACCTTAAACTGAAGAGCCACATTAAAAGTGTCAGTCCTTATTAAGGCACCAGCCCTTAGTGTAAGCTTTTAAAGCCTGGAAAGTCTGTTTTCAGCCTTAGTTTTTAGCCAGTCCAGTCCTTCCATCAGTTGGAGACACCCCTTTGCCAGGTGGGG